GAAGAGCGTGTTGGTTTAAGTCATGGATGAAGAAAGAATAAACAATTAAAACAGGGACAACACAACCACATCTTTCAACTAGCAACAGACGAGTAAACTTTCAACAGCGAGCAGCCGACTATACCCAGTAGGAGTAGGGGAGAGAAGGAAAGATAAAACACGCGAGTTTTGCAAGTCAGGGTGGTAGGGTTATCTCGGATTTTAAAAATTCAACTTCAGTTTTCGTCAGCAGGAGGGAAGGGTTGGACACATTGTTTTTTGCTGTGGTCATGGCGAATGATTCTATGATTTCCCTGCCAAATCTGCTGTCATGCCCCCCAAGGATTTTTGTGTCATCAAAGAGGGGATGACAACGCAAACACGAACGGGCATGTATGACTATGGGATGACAAGAATCTGGAGAGGCCTTAGAAACTTCGTTGTGATGTTCGCGGAGTCTGTGATTGGTGCATCTGCCGGTCTGTCCTATGTATTGATGGCCACAGCTCAAGGGGATGGAGTAAACTTTCTTCTCTTTGCATGGAATGAATTTCTTTTCGTGTTTGACGGTGCAGCCAATTGGAATCCGGTTGTTGTTCACTTGTTGACAGAGTTGTTTAAGACGCATGCGGCACGAGAAGACAATGGAAAGGATGATTCGCGGGCCTGATCGCCAGTCACCAGCCACAAAAAAGAAAGCCCGATTCGCCGTCATTCCTTACGTACACAACTCAGCCCACCGGATAAAATCCCTTGCCTCAAAGTTCGACACGAATGTTGTCTTCTCGTGCTGCATGCGTCTTAAACTCTGTCAAAAAAGTGAACAACAACCGGATTCCGATTGGATGCACTGTCAAACACGAAAAGAAATTCATCCCATGCAAAGAGAAGAAAGTTTACTCCATCCCCTTGAGCTGTGGCCATCAATACATAGGACAGACCGGCAGATGCACAATCACAGACTCCGCGAACATCACAACGAAGTTTCTAAGGCCTCTCCAGATTCTTATCGTCCCATAGTCATACATGCCCGTTCGTGTTTGCATTGTCATCCCCTCTTTGATGACACAAAAATCCTTGGGGGGCATGACAGCAGATTCGGCAGGGAAATCATAGAATCATTCGCCATGTCCACAGCAAAAAACAACGTGTCAAACCCTTCCCTCCTGCTGACGAAAACCGAGGTTGAATTTTTAAAATCCGAGATAACGCTACCACCCTGACTTGCAAAACTCGCGTGTTTTATCTTTCCTTCTCTCCCCTACTCCTACTGGGTATAGTCGGCTGCTCGCTGTTGAAAGTTTACTCGTCTGTTGCTAGTTGAAAGATGTGGTTGTGTTGTCCCTGTTTTAATTGTTTATTCTTTCTTCATCCATGACATTTATATAGGGTCATTTGTGGTGCCATTACATTAATATTGCTGGCCCAGTGACCAAGTTGTAAATAGCAGTAAGACTTTTTACTATAATGAGAAATAGCACACAAAGTGCAAGGTATGAGCTACGAGCACGAGTCACCAGGACACATGTTTGGTATAATGCCTGCAACGAATCCAAGAAGAGGTTGGCACATAGCATATACAAAGCATGACGTGCCAGCGACCATTTTAATAAAAAAGATAGTCTTCGAACTAAGCCCTTATCCTGGAAAAAAAAAAGGGTCCGTGCCATAGGGAACTATTTTTTTGACACAAGATTGAGACACTCAAAACAGGTGCATAATGCTTCGAGTCCACTATGTCATTGAATACTTAAGCTGTAATGACTATAGCAAAGCACACTGCCTGCCACTAGCAGTAAATGATGAATTAAGTTTGCAGATCAAAATTTAGAAATATATTACCAATTGCAACTCTGCACAGCTGCATGCTGTTAAATGGCCTCTTCCCCTTCCGCCCGTACAGTGAAAATAGGACTTGGACAGAGTGGCCCATTAAACCTTTCATGACGTTTGCTGTCGTTTCCAGCAGTGTTCTCCCTCCAATTCTGAGGAGCTGCTCCTTCTGCAAAACATGAAAAATGACAAAAGAAGCTAACATTAGTACATTAATCATACACCTTTGCATGTCTTCAAATCCATATCCCAGCACGGATTTTCCACAGGCCAGCACCCACATGTTGGTGGCTTCGGAAAGCAAACGAAGTATGTGTCTTAAAACACAAGTTCCAAATAGACGATTTGCAATTTTCCCAAGCGCCCAGGTCCGCGCGCGAGGAATTGTGGGGAGAGGTTGTCCCTCGCCTGGCCACTGTGCCTTGAGATGGCATTGCCTTGTCTCCTCTTAATCCTGTGTTTTTCGATTCCATTACCTATTTTTTATCTATTCCAGCGTATATTTTATTGCTTGTGTTCCTATTCTCTTCTGCACGCAATATTTCTGTTATATATACAGTATTTGTGTCTTCGTTGCCTTTTTCGACGGGAGTGCCAACGGACAACACGCTGCTCGCGTGTCGTTACCCGGGTGAGTACTACCGTTGCTACAGATTCCTATCGCGCTATTAACTGTTCATTTTGGTTCATTTAACCCGCGTACATGTCATAGGGGTAGGCAGAACTTTGAATCAACAATTGCGACGTTAGAGCCGCAAGTGTCTTGTAATGCGCAGACGGGTTGGTGAACTGCAAAAGATGAATGGTCGTTTTTATGAGTTTTCCTATTAAAATATTTCAGTTGATAGTCAGCGCTTGTCCAGAGTGTTTCTTCATCGCCCGCGTCTGTTGTTCGCGCCGTGTCCCAAGATGTTGAGTCAGAGCTCTGCCTACCCCTACGACATGTGCGCGGGTGTTCACAAACAGCTCCTCTCGACCGCACGCACGCAGGTCAAATGAACCAAAATGAACAGCTAACAACTCGATGGGAATCGGTAGCAACGGTAGAACTCACCCGGAGACGACGTGCGAAGCGGCGTGTTGTTCGTCGGCACTCCCGTCGAAAAAGGCAAAATAAAGACGTGAATACTATATATATACAAGTATCATGCGCAGAAGAGAATAGAAACACTTAAAAGCAATAACAAATACACTGGAATAGATAAAAATAGGTAATGGAATCGAAAAACAGAATTAAGAGGAGACAAGCGACAAGGTAATGCGATCTCAAGGCAGAGTGGCCAGGCGAGGGACAGCCTCTCCCACAATTCCCCGCGCGCGGACCTGGGCGCTTGGGAAAATTGCAAATCGTCTATTTGGAACTTGTGTTTTAAGACACATACTTCGTTTGCTTTCCGAAGCCACCAACATGTGGGTGCTGGCCTGTGGAAAATGTTAGTAGTGGGCACTTGTTAGGAAATGGGGGCTTACTCGGTATTTTACAGTAGATACAACTTTGGCTGTAGCCACTGCAGCGCTAATGAGAACCTTGCAGAATCTCCAATCCGGAACATGTTAGTTGTGCAAAGCACATCATCGAAAACCAGGCTGAATGTCGAAATCCGGAACACACTCAGTCGCTCTCGGCGATTACAAGCACAGGATCGAAGCTGTCGAAGCGTGTGCTTCCATAGGTCCCGTGACATCCTGTCTTCACAATAAACGAGATTTGCGCATGCTTTCCTTCTTGTCAGCACATCCTCCACTTGCATTTTTGAGGGGGCCTGGCAATTCTGGGCTGCTGTCCGGCTTTCTTTTTATATGACGGCTTTGTTGCTGAACGCGGCATGCACCACTGTGGCATCCTGTTGCTTCCTTCGTATATTGTGGATGTGTTAAATGCGTACAGGAGAAAAACAACGTTTTTGAAGCTCAAGTTGGGGGTGCATTAATTATGCAAGTGCATTGAGTATGCAAGTAAATATGGTAGACTAGTACTGTAAATATGGTAGAGTACTGTCCACCAATCATTTGTCATTAAAAAAAAAGATGCTTTCTTCCCCCATTCACTGCGCCTCAGTAGCTGCAATCTTGGTTTTAACCGCTTGGACAGATAAAGCGCCCATACCAAGTTTAAAAGGCAACTCCGCTTCATTTTTGATATTTAGAAAACTATGCAGCCCTCTCCAATATCATATAGGAAGACCTCATGTCAAATATTACGATCTAATTCCGTCTATATATTTAATAAACTGGCCAGCGAACTTTCAAATAAGCCAAGTCGCCAAAATCTGCCAACTCTAGCGTGCGACGTGAGGCGCAATCGTCAGCGCAGTCAATACGACGGAGTTGGAGCACCCAACGATAAGCCACTACGTCAGAGGCATGTCTACGTCATCCTCACGTTTTGTTTGTTTTTACTTCTCGGAGCGAAATTGAACGATGACGTCATGAGTTTCTCCTCTCGGTGTTGGCTCGACGGCGTCCACGTGATCACCGTAACGCGGATGCACTAGTTTGCGCTGCCCGGCGCACTTATCGGTCTGTTTCTCTGCCTCCCCTTCTCCTCTTTCGTCTTCTCCCTCTCCCCCGGGCCGTCACCATCCACGCCATCCGAAGCGACCTGTCCACGTCGCGTGTCCTGTTCCTCGCCCCCACGAACGGCACAAGACCACGTGGTTCGACGTGACGTGGCCATGACTCTGATGACCCGCGGCCAATGTTGCCTGATGCAACCGAAGTTCCGGTTTCAGCTGATGTTTAAATTAAGATTACACAAATATTATTTCACATTTCGCAAATCCGAAGACGTAGAGCTGTTTAGTAGTGCTTTGTGAAATGGAATCACATGTAAGCCTAAATTTTTCGGAATTGAGCGGAGTTGCCCTTTAACCATTTCTTCAGCAGAAGAGGGGTGGGCGCTTCCTCAGTATTGTACAGTAGGTGTACAATTTAAAAATCAAAGATAGTGTGTAACAGCGCATAGCAATACAAGATAGGGATAGAGAGAATCAAGATGTTGTTATTACCAAGACTGTGGCTACAGCCTCGTCGTGAATGGCTGCCTCCGCTGCTTCCAGCTCCTCCAGGGTGCTGGCTGGCAGCCTCGGAAGTTCCCGTGGAAGAATCGCAGCCGTCGGGATCGGTGCAGCTTGCCCCGTTGGCACCTCTAGAGCTGCTATTTGGTCCGACAGCTGCTGGAGATCCAGCCTCAGCTGCATAGTCTCGTGCTGCATCTCACGGTTCTGGTGGCGGAGTTCCACTAGCAGGTGGATGATCCGCAGCTGGGCACCTGAAACACAAGCAAATATTTCCTTGTGAGATGCCAGCGCTCAGTGCCCTTTGCCCACGAAAATATAAAAAGTAAAGCCCTGCCAAGCATGGTGCGACAATGCAGCGCAGCTAATACGAAAAAAATGGGCTGCTGTAATTTTCGTATAAAGCACATCACAAGGGAGCTTCGGGGCAGCGCAGTGGACAATGGTCAAGTGGTCCAAACAGCAGAAATCAAGCACTGATTTAAGGGGGGACACGGCTCCTTGAAACGAAAGAAAAAATGAAAAAAAGAATCACATTTTTGAAACTATGTTTTTTAACATCTACAGGTATTTTCGCATCTTTTCTCTAAGTATTATCGCAAAATATGCCCTATTTATTTTGGAGTATTGATTTGAAGTATCTAAACGGAGATGCTTCCTCCCAAACAAGCAAAAAAATGGTACGATTTGACCGCCTTTAGCTCGAGAACAACGCGATAGAAGGGAGACATCTTGGTCTCATTTGAAAGCTCCGTTCCCGCTCTTTCTTCTCCCGCCATTCACGATGCTAGACGGCGATTGGCCGCTGAGAACGAAGCACAAATAAAAAACTAAATCTTGCCACGCTGTTGGCTGTTTCGGATCATGTGTGCAAATGACGCTTTCTCATTGGCTGTTAGGGTTACGCAGCGTCTGCTCGTTGTTTCCGATCCGCCATCTTGTTTGATTCTCGTGCGCGTCTCCGACCATGCCGAGCACAACAACTCCACGGAAAAAGTTTCAAACGGCCCACAAGTTTGGAAAAAAACGGAAAAAAAAAAAGGCCTGAGGAAGCTAATCCACGGCGCAGTTCAACTTCCCGCGAGCCTGAACGTCGACGACGAGGTGCGGGTGCCCGAACACGAAGATGACGCATCGACGGCGCCGTCGACATTGGTGACTTCAAGCGAGCGAGTGCGGCTCGACACTGTGAGATCGACGAGAAAGAAAAAAAAGCAGAGGAAAAACTCAAAAAACTTTCGTCGACGCGGAAAGCTGCTCTGATGGCTGGCGTCTCTGGCGCCGATCAAGAAGCTCCCTAGAGTACAGAGGGTTCCATCGTCGTAAGTCTCGACGTCGTGAACGCGCTCCTTCAACTCGCGAAGTTTGTTGCGGCGATGTCGAACTCATAAAATGCGATCACGACTATGGACTTGCAGTAAATCTCCTGGTGGCTACTAAACCTCTACGTTGTAGATAGATGAATTTTTGGAAAGTGCAGTAAAAATATGTACGAGAACGTTTTTCACTGTTTTCTCGAAATGAACTTTTTGCGCAGTTTGTTATTTTGCGGAAGCCGTATCTCGGCCTGTACACAACCGATCTTCCTAATTCTTTCTTTCTTTGTTAGGTGTATAAGCGGGGTCTAATTGCATCATCCTAGGCATCAGTATTTTTTGTTAGCACCTCCAATATATTGTAAAAAATAATTTATAAACTGAAAATTTCGAAATGCTGTAAAAACGTTATAAAAAATCATGGAGCCTTTATTTATACCTTATTGGATTCTATAGACCTTCTAGTTTACAGAGATATATTCCTTTTTGAGTTTCGTCATCATAATTTTTTGGAATCTCGCCCATAAAATGTTTAAATAAAAGAGTTAATTTTATCAAAACTAACCAAGCTATTTTGAAACAAAGTAAATATTTGTCATCAGAATAGGAAGATGATTATGCTCTATAAATTTCATTTGGGCTGGACCGTAAATAAGAAAAAAAACCTTAAGAAGCAGTGTTCCCCTTTAACTGAAAGGTCTCAAAGCCTTTACATGCATGCAGTTTTTCTACGATTCTTTTCAAGAGACTGACTTACATTTAGAGGTGCCGTAGGTTCAGTGACAAATATAAAATGAAATATTTTTATACAATAACAGAATTAAGGACTATAAAAATAAATGAAGCATAGTAAATTGCAATTTCAGCGGTTCATAGGCTGTTTACCGAAACATACAATAGCGATCAGCTTTTTAGCACCAGCTGCGAGATGTTCGTAGTCTCCGCATCCGGGGGGGGGGGGGGGGTTAGTAGCTTGTTTTTGGAGACCTGATCCTGATACCGCCCCAAGTGCAGGCCCAACAAAATAAACTCCCCATTGTTAAACAAAAACTTAGATTGCAGGAGAGCTTTTTTTCTAAGTAGAATCAAAACGAAGCAGGCTTTTCTCAAGATCCCCAATAATTTGGGTGAGCTTTTCTCCCGGTTTTGTTTGAACACCACCCACTTGGTGATTTGCAAAGGGTGGTTTCATCAATCTTCTAGGAAGCACAGCCTTACTGTTTGCATTTCCTGGCAAAATTAAGCCTGAGCAAGGAAGAAGATGGTACAGTCAGCCAGGCACATAGCCAGGATTTTGTTTTGGGGGTGGCCCGCCCATGTCAAAATGCTGTATGGGGGAGGGGGGAGAGGAGGTCCCAGCAAAATGGAAAATTTCGGGGGGGAGGGGGGCCGGGCCGTTCCCTTGGATATGTGCCTGCAGTCAGCCCTTCTTACGTTACCTATATGACAGAACTGACTCAGCCTTCAACCTATGTAGGCCGTAACTGTTTAAGAATAAATGAAGACTCACGGGTTGCTCCATCATTCGCCTGGATCTGTGAAGGCTCTTCAACCCGCTGTGACTGCTGCTTCGATGCCGGAGCAGAATCACCAGGACCGTCACTTGAACAGGAGCTTGATGGGGCCTGTGGGGCTGAATAACAAGAAACATTAGCAGCAAGAAGTCCTAGCTGGGCACCCCCAATTCCTGTCACAACACTAATGATTACTGTTGTTTAGTGAATGCACAAGCACTACCTATGCTTCCATTACTGGAAGATTACGGAGGTTGTGGATTTGTATAATGCCTAGCCCAAAACATACTTAAGAGAACAAGTGAAATATATATAGTGTATCCATGCTGCAAAGCCACAAATAAAAACAAGCATCTTTCCTCGTGGGCATGCTTTTTGGTGCAAAAAAAAAGAAAGGGTTGAAATCACTCTAAAACAAGGTCCTGAGGTATGCTGCACTGTGTAGTTGCACAATAACAAACACGTCGACTTGAAGGTTAAAAAACAGACAGAAAAAAACATGACGTACATGTGAAGGTGCGGAATAAGAACTGCTTATTTTTTTCCCTTCCTTCTACCTAAAGGTTTGTCTGTGCCTTCACATGTATGTTGTACTCTTTTCTGTCTATCTTTTTTTTAACCTTCTAGTCTATGTTAAAGTAACTACGCAGCAAAGCATACCTCCTGCACTTGTCACAGTTCGTTGACCCACCAATTGTTTAGAAGAAAAAGGTGTAACCTCTATATCTCGATCTCCGGTTGCTTCTCCCCAAGATTCAGAAGTGAGCTAAATGAGAAGAGCACATCTTAAAGGACACATGCAAAGGAAAAAAACATTTTTTTTAACAGCTTAATGAAAAAAGTATGTCGTAAAACAATATTACAACGAAGAAAAAAATTTGTAGAGCTATGCTTACGGCGCTATACGAATTTGTAGTTGGCAACCGCCGGCGCCGCGGAAAAGTGGCCCCTCTATGTCACGTGACTGGCCTTTATTTATCACGTGGTGCTTGCGCTCTTTCGGAAGCTTCGTGTGGCGTCTAAAAGTTAACTTATTCATCTTTGTTTGAAGTATAACAAAAAAACTAAGATTAATAGGTAACTTTTAAAGCCCAAAGGAAACTCCTGACAAAGCGCAAGCAGACGTGATAGACCTGTGTGCCGGTCAGACGGTGGCGGCGCCCCTTGTGCTGCAGCGCCGACGGCAGAGTGGAGAAACGCGTTGAAGCGGCGTCCGCACAACGCGCACCGTGCGGCGCCGACGCAGCACGGCGGGCGCGGGCCTACCACGTGACCAGCGGCGGCTCCCGATGGGCGCCAACTACAAACTCGTATAGCGTCGTAAATATAGCTCTAAAAATTTTTTTTCTTTGTTGTAAAATCATTTTATGACATCCTTTTTCATTCTAAGCTGTTTAAAAAAATGTTTTTTTTCCTTTGCATGTGTCCTTTAAAGCAGGAACAATTTCGACAGTGAGATTGTTCACGTAGAGAGCTCAGCTGGGCTGCTAAAGCATGTGATGCGTTTACGGGTCTAGGGCACAAGCAAACCTGATGAATAAGCTTCAGACTATGGCCATCACCTTGCAACCAAGATGAGGGACATTTTGGGCGTTAAAGGTTGTGCCCTTTCGAGGGGAGGGGACGGGGGGACAGGGGGGCAACAGAAACCCTTGAGGCATGAATGTGAAGAACCTCCTTCATTCAAATGCGTTTAGTTGAAAATACTGAAGGCAAATATTATCGTAAAGAGCCCTTCAGTAAAACAGCACAATAAATATTTTTATTTATTACTTACATAGTACTGGTATCTGCAGACGGGGATGAGTCGCCTCTGCTCTCCTTTCTACCGGTACTGCATTGTCTAGGTAGTAAAATATATATGCCCATTAGAATACAGTTCATTATTTCCCACCATCTTTCTATAAAAAATTTAAACTCTGATCACCGGAAATCTCCGAGGACTCAATGGAACATGTGTGTATCCACTTGGTAAGCTTTTTCTCTGCTCTTTGGTAGGTGCCTGTAAGGAAAATTAAATTTAAGTGCCTCCTTTATACAAACAAAAAAACCTGCTTCTTCATACAAACAAGTTACAATGCGCTGCACTATAGATTTTCACCAACCCCATGCAACCAAGCTAAAAGCCAGTGGAAAATCGATACTTTCAAGAATCTACCCTCTAAGCTGGTATTATGTTACCAGCAGGAACTTGAAATTTTGGTAGGACCTGGACAGATTTTTTTAGCAACTTTGCTCTTATTTTGTTTTACTTTTGTATGAGCATGGTAGATATATAAAGTCATTTTGAGCAAAGGACGCAATTGCTGCAGCAGTTCCATCGATGTAAAAGAGGTCTCCACTTACTATACATGAAGACTTAAGGCTGGCTGACACAGTTAATCGCGTTGAGTCCAACAGAGGGCGACTGCAATCGCTTGTGACACTTAAGATAGCGGGTTTGCGAGAACATGCCTATGGCAGCATTACCAATGCATTTGCCGTTTTAAAGGGGTACTCAAACGAAAATTGATGTTTAGCTACCGTATACCCGTGTAAGGACCGCACTATTTTCCCGATTTGAGGGCAAATATTCAAAATGCAGCCTATACACAGATAAAAAAAAAAAAAAATCTGTATCCACATTTCAAAATGAACGTACATGAGCGCGCTCGGCTGCACTGGTCGGAAACGCCCCCACTATGGTATCCGGACTCAATCGGCAGTCGGACTTAATTAGTTTACATACTGCACAATACACTTTTTTTCTTTTTTGCCGTATTTGATAGCATGCGCGACAACTTTCCGCTCGAATCGTGTATGACTGTTGAAGTGGTACTTGCGCATAGCTCTCAGATTGCGCGAAAATGCAGACAAATCAAGACACTTTGACATTAATCGAAGAACAAAAGGATACCTACCCAGAGCGTACAGTGGCGTTCGGAAACCCGAGTGCACGCACAAGCCCAGCCCACTGAATTCCCATTCCTCACGCTTGCCACGTAAACTGACATATCCTTTATCTTTTCTCAATGCCTTGCCGCAACATAAACGCATCTTGACAGTGCGGCCGACCACGATCAAGGTCGACAGCCATTGTGCCATACGGTGATACAGATGAGTGGAGAGCAAATATCGGGGATGCGGACACGTGCCGCTATGTGCTCAGGCGGTGGCTAGCGCCACGTAGCCATATATGTTCATAGAAACGTGGTATTACAGTCGGCGCGCCTCGAAAGGGAGGGGGTGCGGCCCATACACAAATAATTTCTGTAAATATTTTTTTTGCAATACTTTGTCCTATATACGGGGGTACGACTCTTACATGGGCGCAGCCCTTACGTGCAATTATACGGTGTTTTGTACAGAAACAAGCAAAATGCGATCCCTATTGTACGTAGATGACAATGGCACGATGGTATTTCTTGCGGGTCAATCTAATTTCCGTTCCAAACGCCAGAGTCTTGCTGGCACTTGATGAGCGGCGGTCGGAGGGTGCAATGCAAGCTGGGATGTTCAGTGATATCCATGATGTCATAGCTCCGAGTATGGGCAAAGCTACATGGAGGCTGCCATGATAATCACGTTTGCCACATGGAGGCGTCAGCATGTTGCAACTCAGCCGTGTGAGATAACCAAAGCTCAAGAGAAATCGCAACCCAGCGAGAGCTCCGTGGCTCCGTCACCCAGCGGCACAGGCGAGATTGCAGCAAAGGACGAGTCAACCAGTCGAACCGTGTGTGTCTGCGTTGTGCACTGCGATCTGAACCACTTCTGTGGTGTGGTGTTCTCGTGATTTGTGTTGGTGTGCGACGTGACGTCCGTGTGCTCAATCAAGCGAGTCTGTGCAATGCAGCGCAAGGAGGGCTCTCTGAAGATGTGATAGGCCTAACGAACGTTGGACCCGCTTGTGCAGAGAGCTGAAAAAAGCCTAAAGTTCGAGGACGTGCGCAACGTAGACTAACTTGGAATTAAAGACAACCCCACACATATGCAAAGTGTTATCATGCGCTAGTCGTGCATATTGGCAGCTGTTCCCACTTTGATTGTGCCAGGACCGATTCCATAACCATGGCTCAATCGAACGAGTACCGAAACGACTACCTTGGTGCTAACGATGTCAGCGAGGACGAGGATCCTGCTCTCGTGACATGTTTTCGGAGAGGAGATTTGGCCTGCAGTCATACGTCTACGATCCCTCTGCTTCGTCTTCGTCCGACCTTCGACATGCTGATTGAACATGAGTGCCAGCCAAACACTGACGCGGCACTCGTGCCTAATCATAGTCCACGATCAACCTCAGTGTAGCTACGATCTGAAGCGGTGCAGGGACCTTGTCTATATATGTTCCATCTCTAGTTGTGTGCAGCAAAGCAAAAGCATGGGCATGAGGTAGTAGGTTGGTTCGCTGTGGCCAGCTCTACCGACTTTCTCTGCCAAGGTTTAAAAAAAATTGCGTTCAAGCCTAAGCCACCTAAAATGGGTAAGCCGCGCTTCCGCAGACTTCTTGGAAGTCGTTGCATCACATGATGCTTTTGCAGCATGTGATGCAACGACTTCCAACGAACCTTTTGAAGCAGCCACGAAGTGTTATTTGGTTACTGTTGAATTATTTTTAAAATTCCTTTTGGTGTTTTTTTGGACAAAATATAGGTCTTTGAGAGGTGATACCACTGCCTAGCGGACATGTAAACGATAAAATGACTGCTAGAATTTTGTTTCCGCATCCCTTTAAAATGCAGTGGGAAGCAGCTGCGATTGTGTCTACATGCATTTTGAAAGAGTAGATCTGCCATCTCGCAGAGGCAATCTTGTTTTAAGCGTTGCAGACGGTTGCAGTCGCACTTAACGCTACTGTGTGAACCAGCCTTTACACATCAAGACATTAATTCGTATCTCCATTCGTATTCAGACATTAATTCATATCTCCATTGTTTCGAACCATAAACTTTGTTGTCTAATGTGAATCCCCTTAGAAGTGTAACAAATTCTCAAAATCACTAACTCTGTAATGTGCTAAGTTGTGATAATCTGGTGTCTCAATCCAAATGTCATGTACTTGGAAGTTCTGACCCCGTTTTGGAGAAATAAAACTTGTAATCGCAGTCATGCAGAGAAGGAGAGAGAGTACATGCACAAATTACTTACTCGAAGTTCCCAGTACATCAACTGGAAAGGGCTCCCACCCTTCCTCCACAGTGCCTGGTGAAGCCTCCTGCTTGGCCAGTGCCAGAGCATCCAGGCCTGCATCTTTTGATGGCCAGTGGCAGACCGCACGATTTTCCGACAGCCATGAAAGGGGCACGGCTGCCACACAGTCTTTTTCTTGTGGAAATTTCATCACCGCAAATTTTTTCATTCTGTACAGGGAAGAAGCAGTGAAGATAGGCGTCATGTTTACTAACTGCATATCCTGTTCCAGAGCTCCCCAAGGAGCAGAGCATGCACCACCTGTCACAAACAAATATGGACACAGGTTTGCAGTAACAAGTGGCCCTGCCATCAGGTTCTAAAATTTACTTTTTTTTATTTTTGCAGCTATTCTAATGAAAATCACTGTGCATATGTGCTTCTTGTTTCTCAATATAAATATGAAATCAGTCTTAAAATATCTTAAGTAGTTCTCAAGTTATTAAAAATAGCGTTGCCTAATTTGGTCATTTCTTACGAGTCGTTAAGGCCATTTCCAACAAAAAATATTTTTTTTTATTAATGTAGATGCATAGCTAAAGGTCTGCCATGCATTATAAAGCTATTTAAATTTTCACAAAATGAAAATATTATATAAAAATTGGCTAATTATGCCAATTATGACAATAACGAGGTAACATTACTTATCATAAATTTTTTTTAACTCTAGACTAAAAAAATAGCTTTACTCCGTAGTCCAGTGCTTTCTGAATAAAACAGTATCAAAGTTTCCAGAATGCTGCGATAAAAACCTAATGAAAAAACCTGTAAGGCTAAGCATGCTGACAAAAAACACGAAGATGAGAAAATCGAAGTTAAAGTTTGGATATTGAACATAGAAAATTGTGTGAAGAATGATAAACAATAAATCAAGGTGAAGTGCAAGTCTTCCTGAACAACTTGACATAAAAAATGACGTAATCCATTCATCGGAACATTAGGAAAAAATATGATAAAAGTAAAGAATTAGTGAAATGTTATAAAATCACACTGGGAGGAAGTGCGGCACAATATTTTATTGTTTATTGGTATGTCAGTGATGTTTCGCATAGGCATGCAGTTTACTATGCTGATTCCATAACTGCTATCAGATTTCAGATATCTCTTCTTTTTCAAAAGTTATCAACAATATAAAATATTAATTAGCTAATTTGAGCATGGGTTTAAAAAAAAAACCTATTAAAATTTTAATGCAAAAAAGGTATCACTTGCTTCCTAAAGAAATACCATACAAGCAAAGCTATTTTTGTTTCTTTAGCACAATATAATCATGGAAAAGAATTAAAGTGAACAGAAGTCATATAATAGAGGCTATAAGAATGTATAATAATGAAATGCCAGTTCTATATACCTAAATATCATATAAAAGTTGCTTTAGCTTGCAGCCTAGTTCATTCCAAAGAAAATTGTACAGTGTTTATGAAAATCGGTTGAGCGCAAATGAATCAAAAGCCTATGCTGAAAAAAAAAAAATGAAAGCCGCTTACAACTCCCTGTAACGCCGAATTAGAGCGCAGCTCTTGAGGAGGAGGAGAGAAGGGCACTGGGGGGGGGTTAAACTAACCAGGGGGGGGGGTCACGTTACCTTGGGGGTCACGTGACCCCCAATGCCGATGATGTCATCACTGACGTCACTGATGACGTCATCAGTGACGATGACGATGCGGGTACCGATGACGTCATTAGTGACGTCACTGATGACTTCACCAGTGATGATGACGATGACGATGCGAATGTCGGTGACGTCATCAGTGACGTCGCTGATGACGTCATCAGTGATGATGACGATGACGATGCGGATGCCGGTGACGACATCAGTGACGTCACTGATGACGTCATCAGTGATGATGACGATGACAATGCGGATGTCGGTGACGTCATCAGTGATGATGACGATGACGATGTGGATACCGGTGACGTCATCAGTGATGATGACGATGACGATGTGGATGCCGGTGACGTCATCAGTGATGATGACGATGACGATGTGGATGCCGGTGACGTCATCAGTGATGATGACGATGACGATGTGGATGCCGGTGACGTCATCGGTGATGATGACGATGACGATGTGGATGCCGGTGACGTCATCAGTGATGATGACGATGACGATGTGGATGCCGGTGACGTCATCAGTGATGATGACGATGACGATGCGGATGCCGGTGACGTCATCAGTGATGACGATGACGATGTGGATGCCGGTGACGTCATCAGTGATGATGACGATGACGATGTGGATGCCGGTGACGTCATCAGTGATGATGACGATGACGATGTGGATGCCGGTGACGTCATCAGTGACGATGACGTCATCGGGGGGTCACGTGACCTCGAGGAGGGGGCCACGTGACCTCAGGGGAGTCACGTGACTTCGGGGGGTCACGTGACCCCCCACGAGGTCACGTGACCTTGGTGGGGGGCTCGCGCGGTGCATTATGGGACATTTCCCATGATGCACCGCGCGGTTACGCCGACGGCGACGCCGCTCAAGCCGGAAACGGGCCCCTAAAAGCTGCGCTCTAAAAAAAAAAAAAAAAAAGCTGGGGTAATAGACTTCGAAATTTGGATATGCATAAGTAACAATGTTTTGATGGGATGCCTTTGGTTAGAATTGCATACTAAAAAAGAGACACGGGTAGGGAAAGCAGCCCCATATGCAACAATTGGTTAGCCCTCAGGGCTTTTTAGGTTGTTCTTTTTCCCCTAGGCATCGGCGAAGTTGTCGAATACGAACTTGATCCAGTCGCTTCCACCAGCGGTAGAGAGACTTGCGCATCGGCGAAGCGGAATGTTTTTGTCAATGCGGAGGTCTAGGCACGTCTCCTCTTTCTGTTTAGTCTCTGCGTGTTAAGTTTCAAACCGGCGTCCCCAACCATCGAAGTGCGCAGAACGAAACAAAGAACAACGGCGCAGAAAGGAAAAAGCAAAGCCAAACAAAGAGGAGGCATCAAAATATTTACACGAACCATGCGAGGAAGACAGGGAACCTACAAAATACTAGGAAGCACAAGAAAACACTGAAAATATTGATAGAGAAAGTGGAGAAATCCGAATGTAACGTGCGCCTCGAACGGCGAAGCGAGGGAAAGCAGACGACGCGGGAGCCCGCGGAGCGACTTGGACGTCGCGCCGGGGAAGCCAGGAGAGGAAGCGCGCGTCCTGGCCAATGAGAGAGCTGCGCCTCGGAGGAGCGCGCGCTTTGCCCAATCAGCGCCTTTCTAGCGCTGGTGACGGCCTTCGATGACGCCACGGCTTTGAAGGGTACGCCGCTTTGGAGCGGGGGAAAAATAAGCGCGGGAAACCAGCTTTCGAACAAGACCAAGATGGCTGCAATCGGTTGAGCCGTTGCAGAGCTCAGACGGCTTGAACTTTGTTGACATTTCAGAATTTAGGATTCAAGTCGGGTCTGTCAACGCTTACAAATTGTCATTATTTTCCTATTTAGAGATTGAATTGAGCATTTATATTTTGTGAGGACAAACTCTGGACTATATAGACCTCAAAATCGTGAATTTTGAAAAATGGCATTTTTTGCGATTTTTTGATATTTGAAGACCCGCGTCTCCCCTTAAGCGCGACCTCGTCGCACAAGTTAAAACATTGGCTGTACAAAACCCCGTGCAGAGGAGCAACTGTCAAAGCCTGGAGCCATTCGGGGCCGCGCTTATATTGCTCCGACCCTAAAACACGGCGCGGCTTTCCGCTCGTTGAAACGCACGAGGTAAGGCTTAACCAAAAGTGTAAACCTGCAACATATTAAGAACTATTGTTGAAACGCACGAGGTAACGCTTAACCCAAAGTGTAAACATGCAACATATTAAAAATTATGTGCATACTCACGCAGATGACGGGTCGCAGCGTGAACGTCGAAACGTAGCAAGGAACACGGTCGAAAACAAAGCAGGGAAAACGTTTGACAGCTCCCTGACAAGGACACACAGAAACCCAACGGCCCTCACATCCGGGATCCGGGATGTGTTCTGGCCCGTACTCGACCGCAGCGCCACCTTTGCACTAAAACACAAAATTTTATTATTGTAAAATCAAAACATTTCTTAATGAAAACGTTATTTGGAGCAATAAAAACATTACTAAAACACGAAATATGCAGTCGTAATTAACCGTAAGTTTGAACACGTTATGGGTGGGTGCTGTCTGGGCACTTGCTCGGCACGCTGGGTACTGCGCCAGGAACTCTGGAACTCGTTCTGAAATGGTGTGTTTCAAGCAGTTTCACGCGTTTAACTAATATATATATATATATATATATATATATATATATATATATATATATATATATGTATATATATATATTGTTTTGTTTTTTTCGTTTCTGGATTTCCGCCTTATGAAGTAATTTGTTTAATTGAGAAGCCGTCTCAGACATGGAGTAGATAAAATCGTTCTGGGTTGGCGTGCGGGAGAGTGGTATAGAAAAGACCGTGCCAATAAAGTTAGTAGCTGCGTTTGAGACGTCCCGTGTGTTATTCCCTTTTTCGTCCGCCGCCTCCGGCTTCCAAAAATGTAAAATAAAATCGTTTTCGTTTTTCTTTTTTTTTTTAACATATACAGTCAGTTTCATTACAGATCCGAATCCAATCCACAATCCAGCGTCTGCTAATCTGTTTCGCTAAAGTCTACCGCCTGCGCTGAACCATCCGTATGCCCGCTCCGTTGTACTTGCCGTAGTGTTAATTTTCTTACTTAATCTCTGCTTCACGTCTTTCGGTATGTTCTCGAAATATAAAAAATATCGAACCGTCAAGAAGGAGTACGACGAGATCCTTGCGGAGCTTGGCGTCTCGCAACAAACCGTGCCTCCACTTCCGCCACCGAAGTGCCCGAGCAACAAAAGACCACGAATTGATACCTTCACGAACGACGCTTGCGCCAGTGGCAGCGGACCAGCCACTTTTTCAGGCATTGTTGATTGTGACGAAGGCACCTCGGAACAGCCTACGGAGAACGACCCAGGTAGCAACAATGAAACTGCGCAGGCCATGTCAAGTGACGAGAGCTCTGGAGAGAGCGAGACAAATGAAGACGGGGAGCAGCGCTCGACCACTGACTCCTCAGACACCTCCACTCAGTCCTCCGGAGACTCGGACCAAGAGGGAAGATGTTCTTATTTCGCTGGACCTTGCAATGATAGACCTCCAGAGCAAGAACTTTCTGCAAGCGAGGAGTTCGCCTTGATCGCCGGCAGGCACAACATGACCCACGCCAACATAAACGAGGTACTAGATTTTTGCCGTCGCCGAGGAATTCCCGACCTTCCAAAGGATGCCCGCACAGTTATGCGGACCGAACGCAAAGCGAAGCTAGATAGCGATCGTTCCTTTGCGCACTTTGGCCTCGAGGTAGGCATACGTCAAGCTTTGGGGACCGCACCTGTTCCACGCGAGCTGAAGCTCCACGGCAACATTGATGGGCTGCCGTTATACAAAAGTAGCCAGGTTGGCCTCTGGCCAATATTGTGCCGCATAACAAACATCAAGGCGTCTGCACCATTTATGGTGAGTGTCTACTGTGGCAAAGGGAAGCCGCCGAGCCTCCAAGACTACCTTCATCCGTTCCTAGAAGAAGTCTCTCACCTCACCTCTAATGGGATGGTGATCAAGGGCATCCACGTTGACGTCAGTCTAACAGCGATGGTGTGCGATGCTCCTGCCCGAAGTTTTGTCAAAGCCGTAATTGGACATACAGGCTACCATGCTTGTGAACGGTGCATCCAGAAAGGCCAACACACTAATAGACGGGTGACATTTCCAGACTTGTATGCACCAGAGCGAACAAACGCATCATTCCGGGCCCAGGACGATGAGCACCACCACACTGGCCTGTCTCCGTTTTTGACGCTCAATGTAGACATGGTGTCGCTATTCCCGACGGAGTATATGCACCTCATATGCTTAGGCGTCATGCGCCGACTTCTCCGCAATTGGGTCTGCCAGGGACACAAGACGAGGTTGAGCAGAGAGCAACGAAACCGCCTCAACGAAGGACTGCGACAGTCAGCCATGTCCTTTCCATCGTGTTTCCAGAGGAAGCCGAGAGGCACAGAAGAACTGGACCGCTGGAAGGCAGCTGAGTTTAGGACCTTTCTGCTCTATGTAGGGCCAGTGCTTCTGAGGTCTTTGCTGACAAATAAGCAGTATGAGCATTTCCTGATGTTCCATGTGGCAGTGAAAATACTTACATCACCAGAACACCACACAACCTACAGCAGATTTGCCCGGGACTTGCTCAGATACTTCGTACAAGAGTTTGGTGGTCTTTACGGAGAGAAACAGCTTGTTTATAATGTTCACAGCCTCATCCACCTTGCCGACCAGTGCCTGGATCATGGCCCTCTAGATGAGTTTAGTGCTTTCCCATTCGAAAGCTACCTGGGGAAGATAAAGAAGAAGCTTCGATCCCCTCGTGAGCCACTTGCACAGCTTAGCAGGAGGTTGTCTGAAGTCCGAGACGTTTCCCACATGCTAACGAAAGAAGTGCAGAAGTCTGTCAAGCCAGGGGACGTCTTCATGCTGAACAAGTCACCTGTTGTCGTCCTTGAGATCCTTCAAGACAGTTTCAAGGGAGGCATCTTGCCAAATGCAAGAGACTTCTTCAAGGTTCCCATGAAGTCATCGGAGCTTGGCGTCTGGAGGTGTGATACCTTTAGACAGGGGACCAAGGTCTGGCCTCTTTCGGATATCCTGGAGGGAGTACAATGCGTGATGCTCAAGTACAAGGGAGGACATGTCATATTACCGCTTCTTCACCTGAATTGATATTTAGGTGAAGCCGCTGGGTCACCGGGACGTTTGCTAGAATATTCATGTGCCAAGAACAAGGTTAAGTTTTCTTCGTGGCAAACTTTTGCTCTGCAAACTATTGTGTGATTTGCTGTGTGTTGTGTGCAGTGTCCTTGCAGACGCTTGAAGAGCCCTTGCTGTGGCGGGATGTTGCCTTCGCCTACGACTTTTTCTTCACTTGTGTAGGTTGTTATCTGGTTCATACTTTGCCTGTGGTGTCCGTGCAGAGGTCTGGAAAGTGCTAGCTGCAGTGTGTTGTTTCTTTCGTCTAGAACATTTGCTCCGCTCATGCAGGCTGCGAAGTGGCTCATACTATGTGTACGGTGTCCATGCAGACGTTTGGAAAGTGCTAGCTGCGGTGGAACGTTTCTTTCATACGTAACTTTTTTTTACAAACACTCGTGCAGGTTGTTACTTGTTACGTGGGCTTCCACTCTAGATGTGTTGGGGCTTCAACCGCTGTTGAAGGTTTTCGTCGAGATAGATAGGGTTGCTCTGCATGCTCCCATGCAGCTTGCTGCGTCTTCTCTCTCTGATGTCTACACTTTTTCAAATGGAAAACAATGCAAAACGTTCCTTTTTTGGGCAATAAAATGTCTTATCTGGAGATGGCACCTTGCATTTAGTGCCCTCTATGCCACCAATGTCTTGCTTTTTTTTCTTTGTGATATGAAGGTTTTATGGAGATATTGGAAGCTCTTCTAGGTGCTATCAAGTCAAATTTTTTTGCTTACTTAATTCTTTCTAGCACCCTTTTTTGTGGCATCTTCAATAGTGTTACACTGTCTCCAAAACCCGAGAAAAAGAATTGACAGCACCATGGTGCTGTCAATCAATCAAACGTTTGCGAGCAACTCCGAAATCATTTTTTGTAAATTTTGACATTTTTCGTGTTGCCCAAATATTTCCTGTCGAACAGCCACAGGGGTTTTACCACTTCGATAGAAGTTTAAGCACATTATTGAGTCTTTCTAATATTTCTTCTGGAGGGAAGCCTACTTAATGTAGAACGATGATAAGAAAGTCCACTTTAGGATTTACTGATCGTGATTCTCTGTCTGTTGTGTTCATGAGGTCAGTATGAAGCTAGCAATTATGTCGTTGCACGGAGCAAAACAGGCAAAAGCTAATCGGTTTTGTCTATGGACGAAATCCGTCTAAGCCTTTTTCTCCTGCTACAGCATTGGCCAAATGGATCTAACCCACTTTAAATAAATCTCAAAAATCACTCGCGTGCGCTCCGACAGTGCAATTTGCCATGAAGGTACACTGTTAGCAAGTCCCGTGTGTTTGGCGAATATTTTGGGGTGAAATACACGTTATTTACACATACTAGCATAAATTTACATGTTGCGTAGTGGATAATTTGTTCAAAAATTATGGGAGAATGTAAAAAATGTGTTTTGGTGCGGTCTTACACACATAACCGTGTAGCCAACCTCAGAAACACTCGTGCACTAAAAAAGTCCTGTGAGCATTTGACCTCTGTCGGTTTTGAGCAGCAAGTAGTGTGGATGGCTGCAGCTAGGTCCCCTGAGCACATTCGTGTTGCAGTTGCTGAGTGCCTTCTGGGAAAGCACCGTCTCAAAGAGAACAGTAGGAGCCAGCAGGTTAGACAGAAAGAAAAAGTTTTTGTGATACTGTATATTCACCGATGTCGCACAATTTGAAGAAAATAGCAATGTGGTCAAACACAGAAGGTAAGTGTTTTCCACGCCCAATAAGCTCATGAACCTATGCAAACTAACAAAGCCTGACGTGCCTGCCAAACACGGATGCAAAAAGAAGCACCGAACAAAAATGTCGACTGCACAGATTGCGTGGTGTCTTGCATTCTCCTGTCCTGTGGCAAAGTATTACGTCGAGCAGATGGGGTGCTGCATCAATGACTGGCTTCACGAACGCTGTGACAATGTGCAAAAACAAAGTGGCTTTCTTGATATACACTGCAGGGCATGTGGTTGTCCCCCAATGCTGGATTAGTGCGTTAAAATTGGAAAAAGCAAGGCTACGATAACACGTGAGATTGTAGAAGCCGAACGCATCGATTACTTAGGCGATGCATGCGTCGCTACAGCGCTTTCTGAGAAGGAACTTGCTTTCCTGAGAGCGAGATAATGCTGTTCCTTACGCGTGCTCTGTAATTGTTGTTTTGTGACGATGGTACAAATACCGGAACATACATTTCAATAAAAGTCAGTTGGATGTTGCGCCTCATTCGTGTCCTGTCCTCCCTTCGTCCTCGTCTTTGCTGCACTAGCACAAATTTTATAAAATGCCCTGTCTCCACTTTTGTTACACGAAAAGGCATGGGATCAAAATGACAACCATAATGTGCAATGATTCAGTGGAGATTTGGGGTGCTCTGGCCAGCATAACTTCATTTGACTGCAGCGCTACTGCTGTTCAGCGAATAGCACTATAGTGCTACTTACAGAAGAGCAGTGGCCACCAGCTGTTTTCGGTAGCGTCAATGCTGCCGCCATCGCAGCCTGGTTTTGCTGTCCAAGTCATATCTCAGTTCTCCTCCCTACAGTCTCAGTAGCTAGCCAGATCCGTCCCATGTCAGGACAAATACTGCCTACTACAAACAGAGGAGTCAGAAGTAATTTGGTCGTTCGCTTCAGCTGTGTGAGAGAACACAACCAAATCCATGAACGATGCTGGGCGATATTTCTCAGGGATGTTGTGAAGAGAATCTCCTCGCCATGCTTTGTAGGTGGTACAATCCTAGTCAATGTGTCGTACGCCCTTTTGCCAATGTCGTTCGTTTTTATCGAGTTTCTGCAGCAGGGTCACCAACATTAGGAGAGCAAGACGGCTGGAGAAGCCCGACTCCTCAACTCGCACTTCACAGAGAGTCCTTTGCCTCTGTGAAATGCGAGCTGAGGAGTCGGGCTTTTTTTGGCAATTATGTTGTGTGTGCACTAGGCCTTGTTCACCCATAAGGTAACAGGGCGGTAGAAGAAACATGCTTGTTGGACCAGTAAAACATGGGCCTTGCACCACGTGATCACAATCTCTGCGAACTGTGCACAGAAAGTGAAGTCGGGCAATAAAAGACCGGAAATTGGTTGGCCGGCAAGGATGCAGCCTCCAATCCCCTGTCAGCTTAGGGGTGAACAAAGTATAGATGTGGTGGGAATGGAGAGTCTTGGCTGTGGCATTGCTGCAGACTGCCTGTCTTTCGGTACGTTTGTGAAAATAACAGGGAGAAAGCGATTGTGCGTATGGGAGTTGTACAGGATATCGGTGCACGTGAACGAGGCAGAGGCTACGTACGGGGGGGGCGATCGGGTCTCCGTCCCGAGTTTTAAGCACCGCAACATTCACACGGGTGCTGTGATAGTACAGATAACGTGTCGGCTTCTAGCGCTTCAGGTAGTGGGTTTTCGCTTCCTCTCATGGACGAGTCTATTTTGTTTGGAGTTTTATTGTGTGCCCATGTAATTTTTTTGTTTGCGTATTGAAATAATACTTTTGATTGTGAACGGTCAGCTGAACAATTGACGGAATTAAAGCTAGCAAAGAAAAGGAATACTCACATCTGACTACCAAATGCATTTAATTATTACTTCATCCTCCTTCACATAATATTTATTTTTTGTGCATTTTTTCTGCTAGCTGCTTGCATGGCTGCTGTTCCCAATATAAAATACTCTGGAGGATGCAAGTGGTGAAATTACGCGTAGGCGCAATAAAATTGAATAAAAAATCAACGGCACGTTTTCTTTGGATGCCGCTGGCGGCATTTTGAAATGTCGGTCGCCCGGTGTGTGTGCGTGGCCGGGTCCTCGGCGGCTCGGCGGTGTCCGTGCTGGTGCGTGTTGTCGACGTTGCCGCCTGTACTCGTCGCGTTCTCAGGAACATCAAAATAAGCGATTCTCCACTTTCAAACTTCGCCCGGTGCCGTCCGTAACTCTTGCTGCAAATGAAGATTACGTGTACCGGAAGCGACAGAGTCCAGCCGCAATAATTTTGTACGCATTTTTTTGGAGCTGTACCTGTGTGTAATGCGACGGACCCTTGCATAGAAGAGCTGCGAAGGCCGTGCAAGCTGCGAGCGAGCAGCCCTGACGTGCCCGCTGCAGGAGCGCTCGTGCCGCGTGATCCAAAGCAACTATAGCTCGCGCTTTTAGCACTGTCGTCGACAACATTCTTTTTTTTTTCTTTCAGTGTTGTTCGTAAAAAAATTATTGTCGCGAATACCGCCAAATGGCAAAACAAAATGTGCGAAGAAAAAAAAAAAGAGTAACTGCCTACTGGGGTTCGACCTCACGACCATTTGCGTATGAATCAGACATCTCAACCGCTAAGCTACGCTACAGAATTTGAAGCAGCTTCTTTTTTGTGACAATTTATTTTGTATAAGAGTGCCGTCAGTGGAGTGGAGTACCGTCGGGCGGCACTTGAACGCTTTGCAAAAGTGCCGTCGGACGGCACTGTAGTCACTACGAATCTTGTTTTGCAACAGGAGAAACTTTCTGGATGTCGACAACAGGCGGCACGTCGACACGCACCAGCGAGTACACCGCCACGCCGCCGAGCACCCGACCGCGCGCACACACTCGCCGACCGACCGACGTGTCAAAATGCAGTCGGCGGCATCCAAAATAAAACGTGTTTACTTCAAAGAACACCAAACAGAATTTGGACGTCCGTGCCACACGGGCAACTCGAATGCCATTTACAACGAATGACATTCGTGTGATCGACGAATCGGCTCGCGATCTGTCACGCGTGGAACACGCCCCACGCTCGGAGTGTAGCGCGCTGATCGATTGGCCGATCGTTCAAATGTCATTCGTTATAAATGACATTCGAGTTGACCGTGTGGGACTGGGGACTAAAGTATGGGGTTTTAATTTTGGAAGTTTTGGTATTACCGTTGGCTTGTCGTTACGGGTAAATTGTTTACGTTTACAGCACTGCGTATATATATACAAAAGTGCTAACACAATAGAAAATGTTGGCTTCTATATAGATGCCACCACAACAGCGTAAGCCATGATCATTCCAACTTTGCCAAAATTATCACTTAGAGTGGGCCATCTTTGAATCACGTATACCATTGTCAATCCAATATTGGTAAAAATTGGTTGTAGGTAGACAATGTTGACCACTTTATAGCCAGTGTTTGCCAACATTGGCCAGCAACTGGCTATGAGAGGCAAATATTGTCCACCTTATAGCCAACGTTTGCCAACAATCGCTAGTCATTCAATATGACAAGCCAGTATTGACCAGTCTATGCCAATAGCCTTCCAACATTGGCAAGCCAACGACTGTAGCAGGTTAATGTTGTCCAGTGTGGGCAATGATCTACCAACCTTGGAAAG